AGTTTTGCGAAGATTTCCATATTATAATTGTCGTATTGCTTCGGAAAATTCAGAACCCATCTAAAGTTTAAAATAAACTTGTGTTTATTACTAAATCGGATTGCAAACAATGAGGCTTGATGTATAATTAAGTATGAATGGTGGTCGCTGTAAATGAGACTGTGAGTGAAATGTACGTGTAACCCGCCACAGACCTGAAGCCCCTACAAAAAACTGAAGCATCTCTTGCCTGGTATGTCGTCAATGAGGCTTGAAGGTCCATCACATTTGGGACATAAATATTCATTTTCTTCTATATTAGCTGCCAGTTCGTCAAGTGCATCATGCAAGTAAATCATGCTTATTATTAAGTATTAATGATGATCGCTGTGAATAAGACCGAAAGTGTAATGTACGTGTAGCTCGCCACAGATCTGAAGCCCCCACAAAAAACTGAAGCATCTCTTACCTGGATCTGTCGTCAATAAGGCTGAAAGATCTATCAAATTTGGGACATAAATATTCACCTTCTTTTCGTATTAGCTGACAGTTTCTCAAGTGCATCATGCAAGTAAATCATGCTTATTATCACAAATTTTAAAAATTTTGACATTATTCATATTGATCAGTACGAATGCAATGATCAAAACTGAATAGCAGTTGTTTTTCTCAATTATTTAGATTTGCAATTTAAGGAAATGGCTAATTCCTCAGTTTCGAAATGTCTTTACCCTTCCTGCATTTTTTTTATTGTGTTGGCAGAGAAGGAAAATACGTTAGAAATGGAAATATTGGAAAAAACTGATGAATATATGCAGAACAACGTTATTTCGAAACTGACGTGCCAATACGGAAAAAATTGCGATAAATTGGTGAATAAATGGCTAAAAGAAAGAGGAAGTTCATCTGAAATCATCTGTTAAATTTTCCTAATCACTTGGCAACACTGTGCGAGTGGTAAAATTTGACAACTCTGCCTTTCATTATAAGCCTTTGGGCTTATAATGAAAATATCTGTGTTTTCACTAAATATCCAATGTTATTTGCAAAAAACAGCAGTAAATAGGTGAATGAAGATGCAGTTAGTGTGTTGGCTACAAAAAAGAGAGTTTATAGTGTTGTACAGATTGCTGAAGTGACATAACTCAAAACAAACTGACAGCCAGTAATTTGTAATTTATGATCTCTCGATGTGCGTATCGAAAATTTCACACATAAAAATTTCGTAAAAATATAATGCGTTGAATTGGTCATTTTGGACACTCTAATCGCATCGAAAAAGTGCATTTTTCAAACTCAATTACACCTCGAAAATGTTCTCCCTTTTGGCCAATATCCAGTTTTGGGAAAGAGCCACAAGTCAGCTTATATACTCCTGATCTATCCGACACCGAAACTTTGTCTTTATTGTTTTTGATAAATTCACCTAAACTATTATTCGTTCTGTAAGATACGTTTACGCATTCTTTCTCTAAAAAACGGGAAATATTATTGGTGGGTTCACCAAAATATGACAATGTCTTATAACTGACGTTATCGCATCTTGAATTTGGGTAACCGTTGTTGACCGCGATTTGCTCGATTAGACTCACCTTTTTCTGGAAATTACTCTTAGACAGTGGACTATTCAATAGACAGTGAAGCATACTATTCAATGCAACAACTTCATGATGGTAAGGGTGTGTGGAGGAGTTATATATGATAATGTCCATGTAAGGTGGTTTGTGGAAAATTACAAATCAATGCTTATTGTTATTTTTCGTACTGGTTAGGTCAAGGTAATTCATTGAATTATTTACCTCCCTTTCAGTGGTGAATTTAATTGATGAACTTGCCTAATTGCCTATCTGTATCAGTATAATAGAGTAAAATATCATCTACGTATCTGTATCAGTACAAGAAACTGTAAGTTACCTCATTATTATGGATTTCATACTCTATATTAATAAAAAAAACTAATCAATATAGTTTATTGTATGATCTTCACTATGAAACGAACGGGTTTTACAAAAACCGTGACACGTGTTTCGCTATACAATAGCTCCTTCAAGCATGAACTGAGAGTTCCTTTTAAATTACAACCATTTTATACTCTAACCTAGTACCTAATCGTCTACCTGAATAATGAATGTATTTGAGAAGGTCAGGTGTGAATTCATTAACACTGTCAATAAATTTTTGGAAAGTATACCTGGAAATATATCTAACTATTTTTACCTAAAAACAGATTCAATAATGGCGAATTATTCAATTCAGTTTGATCGTTCATAAAATGTTTTTGAATTTGTTAATTTCCATACTCTCCAACAGGTTAAGTTTCAAACCTTTCTTCTGGAAATGGAGGGGTTTGTATTGAATAATTCGCCATTATTGAATCAGTTTGTAGGTGAAAATAGTTTTATAGTGAAAATTATACAATAAACTATATTGATTAGTTTTTTTTGTAATATGGATTTTCATTAAGTATCGGGCCAGTTCTATTCAACTCTATATTATTCATGAAAATTTCAGCCAGCAAAGGACTCAAAGGGTTTCCCATTCTTAGTCCTTCACTGAATGAATAAAATATTTCGTCAAATTGAAAATTATTTTGAGATAGACAATTAGTAAGTAAATCTAAAATGTTCTGTTTCATCACTGGATTCACGTGGTTTTTGTCTAAGAAACGGTCAACCAGTTCAATTGTTTCGATTGGCGGAATACTGGGAAATAAATTTTGGACATCAAACGGTATTAATTTTGCGTTATCAGAAAGAATTAAGTTTTTAATATTGTTCACTACTTGATGAGAATTATTTATACTGAATTCTAGGCTTGAAATGAGTAGGTTTGAATGAATTTTATAAGGATTTCTTAGATTTCTATGTGTAGGTCTAATCGAGAAATTGATTTTGTGTAATTTAATAATGCTCTACATTTATCCTTTCTATTCACAACCAATTCTACTGTCTTAAGCGTTTCCTTAACCTTCTGGTATATAGTTTTAGGGCCATCCTTTCGAATCTCGTTGCTCCCTGAATTAAGAAAATCTAGAGTTTTGCGTGTGTAGTCATTTTTAGGTAATGCAATAACCGTTCGACATTAATCTGCTCTTGTAAAAATCACTTCATTATTTTTAGCTTTTTGCTTGATTGATTTTGCAGTTTTTATTTCTCCATTAGACTGAATTTGATCGACAGGTTCAGCTTTTAAAATATTTGCCGCGACATGTTTTATATGACTACAAGTACCTCTTAGAGCCAGCTCCGTTTCTGTACCTGAACATTGGTCGTAGAATCAATATATGGTTTTATGTTCTGACTGAGGCATTTTGCTAACAATCACGTTTCATCATATCTGTATAATTCAAAGTCTCAAATTATAAATATATAAATACTTTATCACGTATAACCCACATGAAGTCTACAAGGTTCACTTTGTATAACATTACTATTAAAGCCAAAAATATGTAAAAATTGTCATGAAAGATCAAAACATTCTCAGATGAGGAATGCCACTCTGATTACATTGAGCATGCTCACTGGGTTTGAGTAACGACTTCATGACATAATCAATCGATTCCACCAATGGAAAACTATTTTTGACCGGATTCGTGAGAATGAAAGATAGATTCGATTATAGTTGAAAATAAATAGGAAACTGCAAAAAACTGATGAAAATTTTGTTTCACAAAACATAATGGTGATAATGAAAATGTTTAATGTTATTCGGAATATATAAGAGGCGAACTCAGGCTGAAGTTATTCTACAGTCAGATAGGTTTCACCAGGAGAATATTATTATATATAATCTCAATTTTTCATTAAAAAAATAATACGAAAAATCATTATCGCCCAATGTTTTCATAACATATCACTGTTTGTTCTCTCAATCTTTTTCTCGTATGAAATCTCTGGCCGATTACCCTGTTGCTAAATTGACAATTTGTTATTTGAAATACCATATTTCGTTTTTCTCCTGTTAGTAGGCAATAAAAAATCAAGATTTTTTTTTCTGAACGATTGCATAGTTTGATATTTTAGGCAATAACTCATATCAAATAAATTATTAATGAATAATTGATATTTTACAAGATTATATATGTTTGTAAAATGAATACAATATGATAGGCAGACTATATATAGGTGTCATTTTTTCACTTGAGCTTCTCTCATCGTTGTTCGCGCCGGGAATGTCATTGGAATCTGCAAATTAAAATAACTAAAATTACTACAATTTTAATTTTGACAGAACTATATACCGTTCTTCGAGCTTTGATTCTTGCAAGAGTGAAATCATGGGAGCTTTGTACGGAATACAGATTCACTGAGTTCAATACAAACTACCGACAGAGATGTAATCATCACCCCTTGGTCAATCTTATAAAATGTGAACTCTACGATCTGCAACTACACGAATAACTTGTGATTTTATAGGTACCATCACATACATATAGGTATAGCCGAAAATGAAACGACAGACGCTGTGAAAAGGCCATTCTAAACGCAACCAGTAGCAAGATTTCGAGAGATACCTGGGTGACACACTGAATATCAGAATTACCAGAAACTCAAAGCCTTGTATTGATAACGAACTGTTAATTAAAAAACAAGTGATAATACCATCGATTCTGTAGCATGTCCAGTGTTCTACAACCTGAAGAAAACGCCTCTCCTAAGACATGAACGGATTCAGAAAAAAGTATTTAGCATCGCAACTGACGATGATAGATACACAATTTTCATAAACATTTTCTATGTCTAGACACGTTTTGCTAACACTATAGCTTCCTCGATAGGAATGGTTATTACACAATGGTAGAGTTCTTATGTACAACAGTAATAACCACCTAACTTAATTGGTTAATAGTGAAAGCTATAACAGGTAGAATATGTAAACCAATTACAATCTTAGTTCTTGCACAACAGGTACATTTTGGAATATGAATGAAATTATTGGAACTATGAAAAAAGGGTTTGACAATGGTGAGTGGTCAACTACCTGTTGGCCGTTCAATAAGGAACCCGAATGTTCATCCTCATTTATATTCAGAGAGTCCAGTAGGTTCAACTTTTGTTCCTTATCTTCTACATGTCGTATATACTACATGAGCTAAAAAGTCTCGGGCCTAACACATAGATGGCGTTAGTTTTATTGTATTCACCGCTTTTTTCAGTTAGTACCAACCTTCAAACCAAACCGGAATTTTTGCGTCAATATCTGACAAGGGATGAAACATGGATCCATAATTTCACTCTGGAATCGAAACGATCGTCATATGAGTGGAGAGCAACTGGTGAACCTCGTTCAAAGTGCCCAAAAGCACAACATTTGGCTAGAAAGGTTATGGCCTCGGTATTCTGGGATATGCGTGGTGTAATATTCATCGACTATATTTAAAAAAATATTATCAACAGTGAATATTAAATAGTGTTATTAGAGCGTTTGAAAGCCAAAATTGCAAAGAAACGATCGCATATGGCAAATTGAACTTCAAATTTCTCCCAAATTCACTATATTCGCCAGATTTGGCTTCCAGCGACTACTGGCTGTTCGCAGACCCCAAAAAAATCTCACCGGTTAGAAATTTCGCTCGAACGAAGAGGGTGATACATTTGTCTTTTCTGCATCTCATCACTGCTATAATCCCTTGCGCTCGGAAATATTCATGGATTCAACTGCGACATGCAAGGTATGAGATCAACTATTCAATCATATGTCCTAAAACTATAGGTCCTGATTGAGGTGAATTCTTTCAGTGGTGGAAGAATTCACTCATGGTATCGTGTAGACAAAAACGAGTATGCAGGGGTCTATTTGAAAGAAAAGGGAAACGGGGATTACGGAAAAATATAGATGAAAGCATTTTGCATCATCTGGATGCGAGAGAGACATATACTTATTATGGGTTGGAATAACGTCACTTCCACGAAGTAATGACAAAACCGAACTCTATTTCTGGTTTTCGGAACTGTTGGAAAGGAACAAAGGTGCTGCTACAAATATGCTTGCCGTTACGATCTCTCTACTCTTTTGGAGTGTTAGCGTGAGCTCGAAAGAAGCTGTACCAAATTGACCCAGAATGCACCCCCATAGAAGTTGGCACCCTAAGTCGCCAATTTTACGATTATACTTTCCCCTATAACTTTGAGACATGGACTATTGTGTTTGGAGTGTCTACTTTATATAATAATAATGAATCTAGAAACAACTTGTTTTGAAGTTTCAAAGTCTACTTACCGAAGTCTTGGCTGGCCGATGTTCTTCTAGTAATGAATGTAGAAGTAGGTCTTGACGTTGTTCTTCTAGTAGTTATTCCGGGAGCTAGTTTTGGTATTGTACCTATAAAAACCAGAATATTCATTAAATTGCTCGATGTTTTGCCATTAAAAACGCACTTCTGTCCATGCATGAGTAAAGCGGCTGCTTCTTTGTCAGCTTCATACCATATCGTAGAGGGTCTACGTGTCTCTGACAGTGTTCGCCAGCCTCTTTGATGTAGATTTCGTGATCTGTAATTATGGAACCGACGAAACATTCATAAGTACCAGCCGCTACATCTTTTCGCTGGGCGTAGGTATAAAGAAGGCTTGATTCCCGCCAGTGTCCCAAGCACTGGTACTCGCGTTCTTCGTATATCTCTTCCGATTCGCAATGGGATACTTGGTAGTACATTAATTCCGGTGCCCTGCAGTCAGACCAGAGTTTTGCGCAGAGGTCTGTAGCGTCGGGAATCCTGCCAGTGTATTCTCCGTTTATAGGACACATGCCTTGGGATAGCCCGGGAACGATATCCAAACCTGAAAGGCCATACTTCGATAAAGCAACAGAACAGGAAACAGCACTGTCCCGCTCAGACTACCCACCTACTGCGTCATCGCCTTGGCGTCCCCTACCTTCTCATTCAGATTGCAAATAGAAAAACCTACGATAGAGAACTGAGAACTGAGGATACAATATCCCGCTTTCAACATCTTAGAAGGAAGTATAGCAGAGAAAGTTAGACTAGTGTGATAACGAAACTTCGGGAAAGCTTTTTTCAATATGACGACTCTGAAACCCGTCAAAAGATATTGATATAGTATGATGTAATGATGAGTTATATGAGCCTGAGAAACTCTGGTCAGAGGAATTTGAAACTTTCCTTGAAAGTGAAGGAGTACGTTATCTGAATAGCTACGGTTTAAAATGGATTTTAAAGCATGTTGAAAACTTGAAATCAATGAGGATTTCAAATCTCAAATTTGGCATCTCTATTGAAAAAAAAAACTGAACTTTTCCATAATGCATAACTACAAAAAAACCAATTCTTCGGAAAAAAATTAATTGAAGCTTATTTCTTTTATTAATAATGAGGCTATGAAAAACAATTCAAAGTTCAAGTAGGAGCAAGTCTCTACTTATGTTCTGGTATACTCACTCAGTTTAAAATTACACAATGACATAGTCCCAATAATAAAGCTTACGCGTTTTGAAATTCTGGAGAGAGAAGAAAAATAATTCTGAATGTAGTTAACAAGCATATCTGTCATATCTGCTAGGAAGCATGGATTATGAAGAGTTATGAGTAGATGTTGAGAATTTTGACTCACATTTCAAATTTTAAGATTATTCATGAAGTTTGTATTGAATTGGAATAGAATGTATCAACTTTTGAACTGAACTTTCATTTTGGAAAATTGAGAGTTGAAAGTTATACCACTTTTATTTTTTTAATGTAGTTTCGTCCTACAACGACACTGTCAAACGAGTATTATATTCATTTTAACGGGCAAATTATTGACCATTACAAGAACTGATTGTTCAACTTGAAGTGTTTCTTGATTTGGTTTCCATTTGGAAGGCTGAAGATTGAAACAGTTTTAATCTTCCTCTTTGAAGATGATCACTTGGTGATCAAAACACGTGTCGAGATGTTAAAAATAACGATTTGGTATTGGGGAAAAACTCCAGCAATATTCGATATGAACATGTTTATAGAAAAAGCAGTTAGAGGTGAGATTTCGGTTTGCAGTAATCGATTATCAGAGGCCAACAATAAATACATGCCAAACTAATATCGCTCAAAACCTACTAAAATTCTTTTGTATTTTGATGTTAACAACTTATATGGTTGGGCAATGTTTCAGCCATTACCTTTTGGAGGTTTTAAATGGGTCGATAGAAATATTGGTATTACAATGATTCCAGATGATTCACCGGTGATGACTTACACAAAAACTTTCCATTTTGTGCAGATCAATCAGTTTCACCCATTTCAGAATCACCACAGTTGATACAGTATTGAGACAGTATTGACATTTTGAAATTACAACTCGAGTTTCGTTTTTAGCACGGATTAAAAAAATATAGGTTTGTTAGAAATCTACTCACCCCTGGTAAACAAAAAGAGCTTAGTCTTATGTTTTGTTTTCATTTTATCATCCTTCTCTAACATGTCGAAAGTAAAAACAAAATAGTGCTCTTTTTGTATACTTTTCTGAAGTGCCTGCCAGATGCCCACATTTCCAAAGTGTGACCCATTCGGCAGAATAGTGCCCCAAATAACGACACTCTCGATCCTTCGAGACGATGTTGAGACAATGTTGTGTGACTTGCACCAAAGTCATGCATCAGAAACACATTATCAGACTGATATATTGGTAATAACAAAGTAGTTCATACTCGGAAAAGGGTCATGCAATAGGTAGCCATACGCAGCTAACACCAGTGACCCACTTGGGAGTGGCCCCAAAAAGTGTCACTCTCAATTGAATTATATTGAAGAATTTATAATATTCACGATATTCCTGAATGTTAATAAAGTACATACCCCTTTTGTTACCTTTCTCAAAATATTTCTTCCACCCAATATTACAATCTTCAATTTTATCTACTTGTCATGGTTCAAATCCCGAAAATTTTGAGGAACGGATATTGGGAAAAATATTCACATGAAATTTCGGCTTTCAAAAAACTCTTTGAGCAGTTGGTTTGTTTTCTATAACGTACGAACGTACCCAGTGGGACAGCGGGTAGACGAGATTATTCTGGCGAGAATGCTGAACATTGGTAATTATATTTTTAGTACAGAATAATTTTGAAAATTACTGTTTCTCGCTTAAAGAAAGTTGCAGGCGCTGCCAAATATTTATGAAAATTCAGCCATCATGGAAGATTCCCGATCTGTACTCAATACTACTCGACTTGGTTCAAGTTTTTTAGCAAAACAGATTAATGAGGCTGTCTAGATGAGAAATTTGCCATGTATTTATAACAGCTTATGAACAGACTCCCTAGGATACCTAACATAAACTCCTAATGTTCTTAGACCGCATTAAGACTATGCAAGAAGTTGTGCTACAACGTGTTTCAAATCAGGGTAGTATAAGTTGCATTTTCTAATAAAACATGTGTTAGAACTGATGTGTTTCAAAACACCTTCTGTTTTTTTGCAAGAAGTTGTTCTATTGTCGTCCTGAGTCGGTAAGGATCAAATGACCAAATGCAAATTATTTGCAAAAACTGAGGGTGTGAGTCATGGTACACTACTGTTTGTACCAGAACGGTTTCCTGTCGGCTAATTGGGCAAACTCCAAATTTGAAATTAATACAATTATATTTGATGCTGACCTAGGTCCGTATGACCAACGGTGTTAGGAGTCACAAGTTAAAAGGTAAGACCTCGTTAGTCCTTAGCTCGCACAAGTTTCTCAACTTCTGAGAGTTGTTGTTCGTATGGGGGCGACAGCTGATTAACGGAAAAACAGATTTTAAACAGTTTTTTTTTCAAGTTTGTTCAGCGTATTTATTTAACACTTCATTGTGAGATTATCATTATACAGTTTACAAAACCGCAACACGTGTTTTACTATATATCTTCTTCTGCTGAACTTCGTTCAGCGTATGCCATCGCAACCATGTTCGACACAAAAATAACATGTTATCTGAAGATCAAAAAACTATGAAGCACTAGTAGAACGATCTATTGAATGCGAATGAAATTTTGTATGATCACCCTTGAAATGATTGTTGAAACTATTCTCCCTCAACTAAATTATGGTTATCATTACACAGGTCATGCAGAAGATCAGTTCCGCTATAATTGTCTGCAGAGGTGCAAAGGGTTTTGAGAACTTATTTTATCGACAAACATAAAATTACACAAACTACACCAGTACTAGAGTGTCACCAAGATTTACCCAAAGCTTCGGTAGATATTAACATTATCGTGAGGTGAGTTAAAAGGCACGACAGGGGTAAAGATGATCGCATTGCCGAATCTTTAGCTCAATCCCTAAATAGATGGGATGCAATTGAAGGATGCAATCTTGCCAGGATCACTTTGGGCGACCCTGGGAAGCTGGTTTCGAAGAAATATCTGGCGATGACCAGGAAAAATCTACGCTTAACAGTAGGATTTCTGACTGGCCACTGTCAACTAAGGAAACACCTCCATAATATTGGGCTAGTGGACACACCATGCAGGATGTGTGAACAGGAAGATGAAACTGTCAGGCATGTCCTATGCGAGTGCTCGGAGTTATCGTCAATAAGATAATGTGTGTTCGGCGAGTCTTGGCCTACACCTGCCGATATGAAGCAGATGTCTCCCAGTGACCTGTCCACCTTCCTGGAAAGGACAGGATGGACGATGACCTAGGGAGGATGTACAATGGATCACATGTGGCCTAAGAGCTGTGGGCTTACACTCACCCTCCCTACTCTACAGATACAGATATCACAACATGTTTCGCTATTACAGTACATTTTCGCAGTGAATAACATACACGACAATTAAGCTACTGTGATAGCGAAACTTGTGATATTTTTGAAATTAAAGTTTGTGAAGATCAAATCATTTCCGGTGTAGTTTTTGAAATCACATATAATGTGCTAACTTCAAAAATATATTCTAGAAATACCTAGTCGAAATATGGAGTCTTGGAAACAAAAAATAACATGTAAAAAGACGAAACAGTTGTTATCAAGAAATAATACGATCCACAGAAACAGGCCAACAGAAAAGGCTAACAGAAAAGGTTCAAGATTATCAAGTTTCCAAATGAGTTACGTTATTTCTCAACTGTATAACTTTTGAGATATTTGTGACTACTCACGTCCTTGTGTTATCCAAGAGTCTTCTTGAAAGTTTTCGTCCGAGCATAGGGTGAAAGCATCTTTACTGGCGCTGGTGTTACTCCCAACTTGGAATTCCATTATATTATTGCTTCTCTTCACTGCTCTTAAGCAGGTGTAGGTGTTTTCATCGCTGTAAAATTCACAGAAGTGAATACCGTTATCGAAGAGATACTCGTATCGTATATCCTTACCATTGGGTTCTGCTGAAAACTAAATATTTATCACTATCTTCGATAACGCCAACACATTTGATGGTATGAGTTTTAAATGATGTATGGTCCTTGTAAATCATTGTATCTTCTTGCACTTTTACATGTTCCCAATTTCCATACATCCATTCAGGAAAGCTGCTGAGCCCAAAGGAAACTTCGGCGGGCCAAGGCAACTCAGTTATTGGTGTCAGAAGTAGGGTTTCGAAACCGCTAGTGAAGTTGTAGAGATCGCTCGTACAGGAAGAATCACTGCTCAAAGCCATCTGGATCTTGCCACTAGTTGGATCTTCTTTGTAGACCTGATTAAAATGGAAGGCTAGAGTGAGCAGTTTTACATAGAAACATCGAAAGCAGAATTATGCTGAAAAGTTATTCCAAAACATGCGCACAGATCACTAAATGTTTGGAAAAAATATCGAAAACGATCATTCTGATATTAGAAACCCTTTAAGCACTCTCTCATAATGTCTAACCAGGGTAACCTGACATGGGAAGATCAAATACAAATAGTATGTAAAAAAAATTTATTTATTTTAAAGAAGATGTTGGGGCGCTAATATTCAGTAAACTTACCGCGCATCTATATTTGGGCCTCATACTACCGATGATGTATCTGCTATCCGTGAATATCATAAATGTCTCTTCGTTCAATCCTTTCCATTGGCCAAGGCACTCAAACTTCATATCTGCGTCAAAGCCCTTAATTAAAATGAGTCAGGATATAGATTATTCTAGAAACATACCGTAGTTTTCGAAGGAGCAGTTCCTCAACATGAAGTTCAATGTTGAACCGGAAGGACACGAGTTCATGACCGAGTTGAATCCATTACATTCATTTAAATGATTGTTGATGATGACCTTGTAGTTCAATTGGTAGTTTTTGCTTATAGGGCAGTATTGTTTGGATGTATGGGTGCCGAAGTTGTCTCTCGTTTCTGAAATTTTGTTGAGGAATGAGATTCATCAAACTACAGGTAGGGATGGATAGATTTTTTATTGGTTCATTGAATATTTCCATAGTTTTGCTGAGATGTTTGACACACACCCAATTTTGAATTGTTTGTTAGAGAAATTAACCCTCATACATAGTATTCCTAAGTAATATTGATTATGTTTCGCTCAAAAAGATCAAAGTGAATCTTCTTGGACCCCCATCAGTCAACTGAACCTGAAGGCCATTTTACATATTTTTCCTAAAATTTATGCACCGGAACTGAAACATATATTTTTCTACTTTTCACGTAACCTCATAAAAAAGGAAAACACACCGTCCTAGAAATTAGGTATATACCCATCACGTTGCCATTTGTGATCTCCAAGGTGGCGAAGGGCAAGAATGTAGGTGGGTGAGTCTAGTCTAGTCTAGTTAAGTTGCCAAACCAGAATTTATATCCACTCAGTATATAACCCGGAACTTCGACTGTTTCACAATCTGCTGGGGTGGATATTGTTCCAAAATGAAATAACATATACACATTAAGAACAAATTACAATGAATCGGAGCTTCTACCAAAAGGTTATGCCATTTTTGCTTTGTCGTTACGGAAATGTATTAAATCTATATCAAAGTTATTCTATTTATGATAAAAAGATACAATATATTTCTACCTTTTCACCGATTTCACAGAAGAAAGGAGGTAACCAATTCGAGACTTATGTATGTGAATCATTGAAACTAAAAAAATCAACTAGTGATGGAAATTCCTTTTTAAAAAGATTTATTTATTTACGAAATATCCACAGAAACAGGCCAACAGAAAAGGCTAACAGAAAAGGTTCAAGATTATCAAGTTTCCAAATGAGTTACGTTATTTCTCAACTGTTAACAACTTATATGGTTGGGCAATGTTTCAGCCATTACCTTTTGGAGGTTTTAAATGGGTCGATAGAAATATTGGTATTACAATGATTCCAGATGATTCACCGGTGATGACTTACACAAAAACTTTCCATTTTGTGCAGATCAATCAGTTTCACCCATTTCAGAATCACCACAGTTGATACAGTATTGAGACAGTATTGACATTTTGAAATTACAACTCGAGTTTCGTTTTTAGCACGGATTAAAAAAATATAGGTTTGTTAGAAATCTACTCACCCCTGGTAAACAAAAAGAGCTTAGTCTTATGTTTTGTTTTCATTTTATCATCCTTCTCTAACATGTCGAAAGTAAAAACAAAATAGTGCTCTTTTTGTATACTTTTCTGAAGTGCCTGCCAGATGCCCACATTTCCAAAGTGTGACCCATTCGGCAGAATAGTGCCCCAAATAACGACACTCTCGATCCTTCGAGACGATGTTGAGACAATGTTGTGTGACTTGCACCAAAGTCATGCATCAGAAACACATTATCAGACTGATATATTGGTAATAACAAAGTAGTTCATACTCGGAAAAGGGTCATGCAATAGGTAGCCATACGCAGCTAACACCAGTGACCCACTTGGGAGTGGCCCCAAAAAGTGTCACTCTCAATTGAATTATATTGAAGAATTTATAATATTCACGATATTCCTGAATGTTAATAAAGTACATACCCCTTTTGTTACCTTTCTCAAAATATTTCTTCCACCCAATATTACAATCTTCAATTTTATCTACTTGTCATGGTTCAAATCCCGAAAATTTTGAGGAACGGATATTGGGAAAAATATTCACATGAAATTTCGGCTTTCAAAAAACTCTTTGAGCAGTTGGTTTGTTTTCTATAACGTACGAACGTACCCAGTGGGACAGCGGGTAGACGAGATTATTCTGGCGAGAATGCTGAACATTGGTAATTATATTTTTAGTACAGAATAATTTTGAAAATTACTGTTTCTCGCTTAAAGAAAGTTGCAGGCGCTGCCAAATATTTATGAAAATTCAGCCATCATGGAAGATTCCCGATCTGTACTCAATACTACTCGACTTGGTTCAAGTTTTTTAGCAAAACAGATTAATGAGGCTGTCTAGATGAGAAATTTGCCATGTATTTATAACAGCTTATGAACAGACTCCCTAGGATACCTAACATAAACTCCTAATGTTCTTAGACCGCATTAAGACTATGCAAGAAGTTGTGCTACAACGTGTTTCAAATCAGGGTAGTATAAGTTGCATTTTCTAATAAAACATGTGTTAGAACTGATGTGTTTCAAAACACCTTCTGTTTTTTTGCAAGAAGTTGTTCTATTGTCGTCCTGAGTCGGTAAGGATCAAATGACCAAATGCAAATTATTTGCAAAAACTGAGGGTGTGAGTCATGGTACACTACTGTTTGTACCAGAACGGTTTCCTGTCGGCTAATTGGGCAAACTCCAAATTTGAAATTAATACAATTATATTTGATGCTGACCTAGGTCCGTATGACCAACGGTGTTAGGAGTCACAAGTTAAAAGGTAAGACCTCGTTAGTCCTTAGCTCGCACAAGTTTCTCAACTTCTGAGAGTTGTTGTTCGTATGGGGGCGACAGCTGATTAACGGAAAAACAGATTTTAAA